AGCAATCAACATTTGTGTGGCTCAGTGTAATGTGTAACAAGGTCCTGATATAGAATCAGAGTTAGTTATTAAAGAAACATGGAGGGGCTGGCATCCTTTTCAAGTTGCAGGCTGCAACATCCTAGCACCCAGCTGGTATATGCTAGGTAGGTTTGGCAGTGCATCACCAGTGGTGGGGGCTGGGGTGGAGGAGTTTCCTTCATCCATGCCAGGGCCAGGAGCTGGAAACTGCACCAGTGCCATATTTCCCAACCCCATGCTTCTTGACTAGGGAATGAGTACAGGTACCAACCATAGAGGAGCTGTGCCATAAGTGGGCAGTTGATGACTGCATTCACACTGTTGCTACTTGTCCCAGTCTCTGGGTTCCCAGCTGCAGAATGGGCAGTAGGGAGCTGGGCTGGACAGCTGGAAGCTGCCACCATTTCCCCCCACTGTAGCTGCAGCTGGGAGCCGGCCAGCTCCAGCTTAGTTGTAGGCGGAAGGGAGAAGCAGCAGTGATGTGGGTGCACCTACCAGCTGCCTGCCCCCAGTGCATCCCTCACTGCCCAGCTCCAGCATAGGTGCAGGCAGTGGCATCTGGCTCCATACCATATCCAGTGTCTCTATAGGCTATGTTTGGCCCATGGTTCATATGTTGCTGACTCCTGAAATAATATATTTGGGAGGGAAATCTCAGAGGTTAAATCAATTGACCAATTGATCAGAAATGAAACACTGGCATTTTATTCTTCCTTCAAATAAAATATCCACAGGACAAGAGGTTTTTCATTCTGTTTATGTACATTGTAACATTTTGTAGTTCACTCACAGGTTATCTGGGATGTGAGGAGGAGATTTTTCAAAGGCACAAAAGGCAGTGAGGGGCCTATCTCCCACTGAAAATCTATGGGAATTTGGAACCATTTCTACCTTTTACAAATCTGCCCCTGTAAGTAAAATATTAATGCAAGTAATACTTGTGATGCACTAGTTACTAGCTAGGAAAGCCTATACATACATTCAACCACAGCTAGAGATCCTTAAAACTTAAATGCCATGGAATTTATTAGGACAGGGGAAGTGAACTCAGAAATATTCCTTCTTGACTTTCTTTCTTAGTCGCATTCTCCAAGATGCCTTTCTCTTTGTTGTTCTCCGTGGAGTGGTAACAGCATTGCAGCACCTCTCTGCTACCAGGGCTTAGTACAGACAGTCATAAAGCCCAAGGCTGATTTTGATTCAGTCTTTGCAGGTTAGTCTAAGCTGCAAAGTTTGAACCAATAAGCAAATGAACAGACATTCACTTTTGATTCAGGAAATGCAGCCACATGCCTGCAATGGCTCATGCCAGAAGCCAGAGGTGCTACAGCATGGCTCTCTGGTAGATAGCCAACATGAGCTGTATGCTCGCTGCTTCTTCCTGCTGCCCCTGAGGTATCTGGGATTTGCAGTCCACAATCACAGCAGCAGGGCTCTGCAGGGTTGCTCATCACTTCCTCTTTCTGCTTCCAGTTGCCTCTGGGTTTGTAGTCCACAGTCGCAGCCAGCACTAAGTAAGCAGGTCAGGGCAACTCCATGCTCAGGGGAAGGGAAGTTTAACCCTCCATCCCTGGTTTCACACCCCAGCAGGGGGTTGAACCAGGAAAGGGTTTGGGACAGAAGTTTCATAAACTGGTTTGACCCAAATCAGTTAAGTCTGATACTACATTCAACCAGATTTACCTTAAACCAGTTTCAGCCTTTTTGAAACTGGTTCATGTGCACTGAACTTCTGTTCTGTTACAGGTTTAAACCAGTTTCTGATCACTTAACCTGGTTTAAGTATAACTGCTGTCCCTAGCCCAGAAGTTTCCTCAGAGCTGGAAGTGCCCTTGAGCTTTTTCTGGTATTGCCTTTCTTTAATTTTTGTTTCATTCCTTTCTCCTGTGGCCAAAAGTCCCCACCCTGAGCCCCAACTAGTCAAGTTCATGCCCATTTTTTAATAAACTAAAATGAAAAGAAATAACTTTGTTCCCACCAGTTTAATTTTCTCAAACTGGATCTGTCAATTTAGGATTTGTCCAATTTAAATTTCAGAGGATTCAGCTGCCAAAGAAAAAATGGAGCTTTTCTTAGTTTCATGCGTCTTGGCATAATTGGAGACTGCAGTTTTTATCTGTGACATCCATGTTTTCTGTGACAAGAAAAAATGACACCTGATAAACCTTAAAAACCATTAAATAATTATAATGCATAGACTTCTGGAACTTTCAATTGATAGTTTGATGTTGTTTGGGGCCCTCTTTCATGCCTTAAATTCTAGAATAAAGGTTAAGTTATAAGTGAAATACTCCAGAACTCTGGCATCCAGATTCTTTGCTCTGCTAAGGTCACTTTACGTTGGATAGGCAGGCTGTACGAAGTGAAATGGCCTTACAAAACCAGACAGACCAGTGGTGAATCCCCTTTGCATAGAGAAACACTGCATCTTCACTTCCCACCACCACAGCAAGAAATAAAGGTTTTTTTTCTCTTGATCTTCCACTAGATTAAGATATGTTACAGATGTGGTAAAGCAGGATCCTTGTGACTGGCCAGTTCATCAGGGATTAGAGAGGTGTAGCTGGGTATCTCTCAGTTATCACTCCTAGTGTCTAAACACAGCTCACCTGTAGGTGAGAACTGGAGGCTTGGTTCTCTTTACTACAATGTGAGGGCTTCCCTGCCCCTCCACCCAGTGATACCAATTATCCAAAGATAGAGCTTTTTCATTGTTTGGCCTCTCTGGACTATATATAATATAATGGCCCTGTGGGGCCAGCTAAGTGGCGTGGGGCTGCTTCACTGGCTGGATTAAGCCCCTCTCCTTCCCCAGTGAAGAGTGATGAAAGTGATCTGATGAAAAATGTCTTTCGTTCAATAGCTTGTCTAACTCTGTCCCTACTGTCCAGTTGGTCCAATACAAGATATCACCCTAAGAAATTCTTGCCTCTTGCATAATTTCTGGACCATGTTGCTACAGCATCACTCTTACATTGCCATTGTACTCTTGACACTGCAAGGCATGTTGTCTGCCATGAATGCTGTGTACCCCTGGACGCTGGGGAGGCATGATGAGCTCCCACAGGCGGCAGTGGCACTGTCAGCGGCAGGAGCGTGGCAGCGGTAAGTGGAGAGCTCCTGCAGGCAGCCACAGTGTTGTCGGAGGGGGGAGGGGAGGGTGAGCACCGACTAGTGATCAGCGACCATTTGCAGATGCTGCTGGCGGCGGTGGCCAGCGGCAATCATGGAGTGGACTGCCCGCAGACGCCAACGGCAGTGTCGGTGGCTGGGGGGGAGGAATCGGTGACCACCTGCAGGTGCCTCCGACAGTGTTGGCAGTGCCTTTTTGCAGGGGGTGCACTGCCATTCTCAAAGGTGCACGTGCACCCCCTACACATTGCCAATGTTGTCTGCTGATTAGTGACAGCACAGTATGGGCAGCTTGGTACGTGGATGGGATCTGCATCCTTCCCAGCTCTACTGAAGTGCCCTTGTACAACATTTGATTCACCTTTCACTCTTACGTCTCTGCAAAGCACTGTCTGACTGGACTCATTAGTGGAATAGGAACAAGAACATCTCAGAGAATGCAGTAGACTTCAGAGCTGGCTGAGAATTTTGGGGCCTTTTTTGAATAAGGAACATCAATGACAATGCAGCACTCTTGCAATTTAATGGCTCTCATACTCGGGTAACATTTCATAGTTTCATAGATTAAGGGTCGGAAGGAACCTAGTAGATCTTCTAGCCCGACCCCCCGCCAGGGCGGGAGAACAACAAAAACCCAAAACAAGAAACGGGACTCAAATGAGTCCAGCCAGGTAGGCATCCAGCCTCTTCTTAAAGACCCCCAGGGTAGGGGCCAGCACCACTTCCCTTGGAAGTTGGTTCCAGCTCCTAGCCGCCCTAACTGTGAAGTAGTTTTTGCGGATGTCCAATCTATACCTCCTCTCCATCAACTTGTGCCCATTACTCCTTGTTATGCCAGCGGGCGCTAGGGGAAACAGCGTCTCCCCCAAACCCTTCTGGTCCCCCCTAGTGAGTTTATAGACGGTCACCAGGTCCCCCCTCAGCCTTCTCTTGTGGAGGCTGAATAGGTTCAGGTCCCGCAGTCTCTCACTGTAGGGTCTGCCCTGTTGTCCCCGGATCATGCGGGTGGCCCTCCTCTGGACCCTCTCCATGTTGTCCACATCCCTCTTGAAATGGGGCGCACAGAACTGGACACAATACTCCAGCTGTGGCCTGACCAGCGTCGCGTAGAGGGGGAGGATCACCTCCTTGGCTCTACTCGAGATGCACCTGTGGATGCACGACAAGGTCCGGTTAGCCCTGCCAACCATGACCTCGCATTGTCGGCCCATGTTCATCTTGGAGTCAATAATGACTCCAAGATCTCTTTCTGCCTCCGTGCTCTCAAGTAGGGAGTTCCCCATTGTGTAAGTGTGCTGCTGGTTCCTACTGCCCAAGTGCAGCACCCTGCACTTGTCCGTATTGAAACGCATCCTGTTCCTGTTAGCCCACCCCTGTAACCTATCCAGATCCCTCTGCAATCTCTCACTCCCTGCTAGCGTGCTCACCTCCCCCCAAATTTTGGTGTCATCAGCGAATTTAAACAGGTTACCCCATCCACTTTAAGGTTCTGCCAGGAGATTTCAGATACCGTATGGTATTTACTTTTTAAACGCAGCTTTAACTGGGTTAATTGCACAACAGCTGTAAGTGTTAAGGCCTGTTGATTCTCAGAAAATTTGCTGATTGTGAAGTGTGTGTGTGCTTGCTTGCTTTTTAGCAGTTGAAATTAGGCCAGCTCAGTTTACACAACCTGCATCTGATGTTATTGTAGTTTTCCGGCTTTATAAAAGGATAGCCTTTTGTTTTCACCACATTACATTGGTATCAATTAGTAATGCAACTGAAACTTAATAGCAGGACTTTATTGGCCAGACTGATATAGCAGGACTCTGAGATGGTGGATATAATTGGGGGTGGGGTGCGGTGTTGTATTGTAGTTTCTAATTAGTTTCAGTACACATACCAGATGTAAAATAGTGACTTAGAATTTTTTACATTTCTCTGGTAAATACTGTCTACCATGTGCTGCATTTTTAAAGCATTAGTGTTACTTGAAAGTCTAATTTTATTATTCCAGATGCTAGTGAATGAAATATAACTAATAAACAAATCTTTTTATCTTCTGTGAAGCATCAAGCCCACTTTTAGATTACTACAAATACAGTCTGGTGTGCAAATTAAGAGAAATTCATATAACCTTATAATCAAGCTAGTTTTCTCAGAAGACCTATGGGATTTTATACCATGCACGTTGAAGCAAAATTACCATAGTTTTATAGATGTGCATGATATGTGTGCAAAATATGATAGTATGCACTTTGAAAATATGCTCTGGGGTGATTAAACTGACAGTGTTAGTTTTACGATCTGAACAGTATTACATGAAAGTTGTTTCTCTTTTGGAAGGACTCACTTTATTGACTCCTGACTTTCAAAAACCAAATCTTTTAAGACAGGGGTTCCCAAAGTTTTTATGCTGTGGCCCAGCAAACCTTAGCCCAGAAGTGGCTGTGGCCCAGCAAACTGTGGCCAGAATTTCTGGCTGGAAGACAGGTAAGGATACCCCAACCCTCCAGGCGTGGGGGTGGGCCAAACCCTTTGGTGCCGCGGGCCCGCAGGAGCCATAGCCTCTCCACCCAGCTCTGGGGGGCCACGGTTTGCCAGTTCATGGTCACTTCTGGTCCGGCAGCTGACCGGGCTGCGGACTGGCAGCCACCCCGCCACAGTTTGGGGATTGAGAACCCCTGTTTTAAGAGATAAGACATTGAAAAGCCAGCAAATAATTGTAACCTGTTGTGGATACCAATACAGTCGTGGGACAGGTAGCAAAATGGGAAATTACCTAATGCCTGGAAGACTTTCTTTCATGTAAGAAAGTAAACAGGATCATCTTTTTGTCAAACAATCACTTAAATAAAACTTTACATGTAAAAAAGCTCTTATAAAGTACTTACCTTGAGAGTCTCTGTCTGTGCTTGTAGTAAAAAGACTGCTATACATTGTTGGTATCTATTTTCATGCTGTATTAAAAAAGCATGCCGCAGGCCAAAGACTGAAAAAATAACAGATATAGATGAGAGAGTGTTATCTGACATAACTGCCATTCTAAAGTCCTGTCAGACTGATTTCAGGTATAACAGACCTTGGTTTTTATCAGCTTTTACTGATTCATTATAAGACAAATGTACAATGTCAAGTTTAACGTTAAACTATAGAAAAAAGCTTCTGTTTCAAGTTGATTCTGCAATTAACTGCTGTTGAGTCTTTTATTAGGAATGAAAATGATTTGAAGAATCATTTGGAAGTTGGACTAGATGACCTTCTGAGGTCCCTTCCAACCCTAATTCTCTATGACTCTATGAAGGTGAAATTCTGTGTAGGAGCTTGAAAATCCTGGGGGGAGACTGTGCTGAATTTCCTAGAGACAAAGCTGGCGTGTGGTCTGGGTTGGGTATTGTGAAGTCTTTAGGACACCATTGCAACCTCATGACTCCGGGTTGCCCAGGGCCTGGAACCATCTCAGGTGTAACTTTGGGACATGGATAAACATGTGTTTGGAGCAAAAAAGGGAACATTTCAAAAAGGGAGCTGCTTATTGGGGGGGCGGGATGCGGCAGCTGTTAAGTTCTAACAGTTCCATGTGGACAAGTTGGAAACAATCCAAATATAGCAAAACAGCTCCAGCTTTGACACTGCTTTGTCCACGGTTTAGGTCAGAGCTATTTTGCTACATTTGTGTTGCTCCTGGCTTGTCCATGTGGAATTATTAGAACGCTACAGCTCCTGCATGGTTTGGAGTATGATCCTATGATATGATTCCCCACTCCTGCCTTGAAATGGTTCCAGATTAGGACCTGTGAGAAGATTCAGTCCCTGATTTGATTTGGCAGAGATTCGGTGGTCGAATCTCTGAATCTGAATCAAATCAGGAGACCTTTTAATCTCTCTGAATTGAATCGGAACCCTCCAAATCAATTTGGAGAGATTTGGAAAGATTCAGTGATTCAGACATAGACACAGCTTTAAATGTTTTTTCTACATACTTTAAAGTACCAGGGGGCTCATGAGTGCTGCAATGCTGGGAAAGATGTACCATCCCACAGTAGCTTGCGGGGG